GCTCAGCCCCCGCGAGCGTATAAGGCAGCCCCCAGCCCCACCCAGCACCGGCCTGAGGGTGCAGGGGTCCCCTCCGCCCGGCCCAGCTGAGGGCCTCCGGGCGCCGCCTCTCTGTCCTCGCGCCCGCCCCGGTGGCTCCCAGCGGCTGTGCCCGCGGTCTCTGCCCGTTCGGTGACCGCTTTAGGGAGCGCCAGCACACACCCCGCACGATTCGCCCACGGAAGCCTCACGTCCGTGGTTTCCAGCAAACTCACAGTTGTGCGGCCAAGTGACGCGTTGAGAACACATTCGTTGCCCCCAAAGGGAACCCCTAGGACTAGCAGGCACCCCACTTCCCCGCTGTTCTGTCTGCACGCCTGCGCTTGAACATGGCGTGTGAACAGACCGCACGCTCTGGGGCCTTCGCTCTGCGCCCCGCGTCTTGCTGCCCAGAACGTCATTGCTTCTAGGGCCCAGTGATCATGGCAGGGGTGGGCGGGCCACGTTTTATTTATCGTCGATGGGCTGGTTCCACTTCTGTGCCATGATAAAAGTGGACATACACGCTTATCAGCATGCTGAGGGTGATGTTTACGAGGTTTTTTCTTGGATTTGTTTATTTATGCACGCAAGAACTGGGGTGCAGGCCAGAGGCAACAGGGAGCAGGACTGGTCAGTCTACTGAAATACACAGCTGAGGAGCCCTGGGGAGACCGGAGGGGTCTGCCTCACCCAGGGGGTCCCTCCCTGGCTGCAGGGAGCTTCACAGTGCTGCGACTTAACACTTGCACCACCAGGGAGGCTCCCATACAAGGTTTTTGTGCAGACCTGTGCTTTTATTTCTCTGGGGTGTATTCCTGAGAGTCAAATTGCGGGCGATTCTAAATTTAATCCTGAGGAATGGTTATCTTTAGTTTTAAGAACAAATACATTCAATCACTTCGTCATTTTTTTTAAAGTTGCACTTATTTATACATACAGAAATGGGGATACAGGTGGGTGAGAGGATTCCCCAGAGACAAAGTGGGGAGCAGAACAGGCAGATGGATGAAGTCCACTGCTGAGGGGAGCAGCGGGCGGGTCAGGAGAGGTCCGCTGAGCCCTGGGGTCACTCCCTGTGGGCCGGGGATCGGACTAGTGTTGAGGCGGCCATGGCCAGCTTGCAGTGCTGCGCTTTAGTTTTGCGCCCCAGGGAGGGCCTCCCCCCTTCACTTCTTGAAGCCAGCAGGGGTGGCAGTCTGCTGGTGAGTGAGGGAACTGAGGCAGGGCGCTAGGAGCGCTGGGAACGTGCTGGGAGAGTCTCAGCTCCGCCATTCAGTGCGCGGGCGTAGAGAACCTTCAGCCGGTCCCTGGCAGGTGAGGTCCACATATCCTGTCCCGTCCCCCACCTCGACCTCACGGCACAGCCATCCCCTCCGCCCCTGCCTTCCTCTCTGATCCTCTTCCAGTCACGGGTCTTTGCTCTGGACTCATTCTCAAGCCACCTCCTTTTCTAGTGGGGCTTCCTGCCAGCTGGATCAATAGAGGCTCCCCCATACTGCCAGGGGGTGCTCATTAGGGGGGACTCTCCCCCCATCTGGGAACGCTCAGTGTGCCCCATAGTGCCTGAAGAGAGCAACGCTTACATTCCAATGCTGGCCTACGAGACCCTCGTCCCCGCCCTTCCTACTGTCCAGCCACAGAAGCGCTGGCCTTCCCCAGACGCTGGGCTGTCTCGGGACCACACGCAGCCCTCACTGTGTGGGGCGGCCCCCTCCTGCCCGGGAATCCTTCACACCCTTTTTAAATGTCTCTCCTCTCAGAAGCTTCCTGTCAAGTGCTCTCTCCTGGACTCGCAGTGTTCTTGCTGAAATTCTCCTTGCGAGCTAGAATACTGTCTCCCTAGCTGAGCTGGGCAGAGGTTGGGCTTTATTCCACTCTGTATATTTCCAGGCCTAGAACAAGACCTTGCCTGGAGGCTCGTAGCTGGATGACTGTCCTGTGGCTGTGCTCCCGACACAGAAGCCGCAAGCCGTGTGTGGCTCCTGGGTCTCTGAGCTGCAGCTGAGTATGTGGGATGAATGTAAAAGATCTTGCTGTTAATTTATTATACTAACTAGTAAAATGGTAATATTTTGTGCACTTGGGTTAAATTTAATACATTGTCAACATTTAAAACTCCCCCTTTTTTTATTTTGTAAGTTTATTTTTACATCATTTTGTACATTTTTTCCCCATCTCAGTTGTAATCCCCGCAGGTTTCCCATCACCAAATCACCCGTGTGCCATCACCATAATCCTATGCACTTCCCTCCCCACCCCCCCATTTTTGATCCCATTTCCCCACTCCACCCCCGCAAAATGTCTCTGGTCTATGGTTGTTCATTGTTTTTGTTATTTTCTCACCTGGTACACTATACTCCTGCTATGAGTGAAACCATCC